TTTGGGCATTCCCAAGATCATGGTCAGGTTCTATAATGTGCCAATAGAACACACAGAACTCACCGGAAGCTAGAATACCTACAATTAAGTTTTCTTTTCTTTTCTTTCTTTTTTTTTTTTTTAAGATTTTGTTTATTTGACAGAGAGAGAGCAGAAGCAGGGGAAGCAGCAGGCTGAGGGAGAGAGAGAAGCAGGTTCCCTGCTGAGCCTGACGTGGGGCTCGATCCCAGGACCCTGGGACCATGACCCAAGCTGAAGGCAGACGCCCAACCAACTGAGCCACCCAGGTGCTCCCGTAGCTCCGTTTTATTACAATGAAGGGATGCAGATTAAAGTCATCCCAGAGAAGAGGCACATGAGGCAGAGTTCAGGAGACCTCCAAATGCAGAGCTTCTAGTCCTCTTCTCCCCATGGAGACAGGCAGACAGAGCTACTTTCCAGTGATGTGCTGCCAACCAGGGAGGCTCCCCCAAGCCTTAGTGTCCAGAGTCGTTAGAGAGGCTCAGTCAGGTAGACACGGCTGACCACCTGTGTAGCTAACTTCCGTTTCCAGCCTCTCTGGAGGTTGAGCTGATGCGTGCCCGAAGCCTCCACCATAAATCGCTGTGTTCGCATAGACCACCTAGTGTGGCCTCAGGCCCCCAGGTAAAGACACTTTTATCAGGCAGGACATCCCACAGGTTCAGAGATGACCTCCCAGAGGCCAAGGGCAAGGCCAGCTCTCTCTTCAGTCTAGTTAATCCTTTACCACATCTCATCTGTGTGAGGTTGAGATCTTCCTAGCCTCACTGGGTCTCTCTTTTCTCATCAGCACACTGGAGGCAATGACCACAAATCTTACTGGGGTCTTGTGACAGCCAAGTGATATGACAGACATCAAGGACCTGGTACGTGAGAGGCTACAGTGAAGATGTGGTCCCTTCTGAGCACCCTCCACGTGCTCGGTTCTCATCTCCTAACCTGGCCCAGGGTGTCAGTCCCTCTCTCCTCTTCTTCCCACCCCTTATACTAACTTAACTTTCCCCCAGAAAAGGGTAACAACCTACATATGGTTATTAAGCTGTTCTTTTAAAAAGGTGTGTGTGTTGGGGCACCTGGGTGGCTCAGTGGGTTAAGCTTCCGCCTTCGGCCCAGGTCATGATCCCAGGGTCCTGGGATTGAGCCCCGCAAGGGGCTCTCTGCTCAGCGGGGAGCCTGCTTCCTCCACTCTCTCTCTCTCTGCCTGACTCTCTGCCTGCTTGTGATCTCTGCCTGTCAAATAAAATAAAACAAAACAAACAAACAAACAAAGGAAAGATGTGTGTGTGTGCATTTTATTTTTCTTAAGTGGCTGCATACCTCTCCATTGCACAAATGAACACAATATATTGGATCGTTGCCCCCTGGATGAGCTACAGCAGACAGCCCTAGGCATTCACATCTTTGTGACTTGTGCTAGAGTTTCTACAGCCTGGATTTTTCGAGGTGGCACCAATGGGGCTAAGGGTCTATTCAAAGTCTTGATGGTAACAAGTTAAGCCTCTACCCCAAATACATGGAACAGCCAGTTTCCCCAGGCCTTCTGCGGACCACGTGTAAGAGACTGGCTTGACAACAGACACTGCTGGGGTCCGGCCCTGTCCCTCAGCTTCCACCATCCCTGCACATGCCCAGTGTTCTACTACATCGGAGACTTAGTGCACGGGTCTTTCTCTTCGCCTGGCCTTAGGCAGAGCTTGTGCCACTGACTGGGAGCAAGGAGAAGCTAGCGGATGTGAAAGTCACCGGTGACTTGCCATTCACCATGAGACAGAACAGAGTGAGTAGGATTTCAGGTCCAGGCTCAGCAAGAGTCCATGCCCGCTGGGGTTTCAGCCAGAACTTGAAATACAAATTCAGGGAAGAAGAGGAAGCAGGAAGGCCAGATGAATGTCTGGAAAGAAAAAAGCAACCACTGTCTGCCCTTGGCACTGAGAAGTTCTGTTCCTGACACACCAGCAAAACAGCCTGCGCCAGATCCAGGCCTGTCTTTGTTCCTGGTGTCCATCCCCGCCAGCAGGTGGTGTCCCCTGATCAGGACAGGCCAGTGGCTGGGGACAGTGAGGCCAAGGAAATCCCTGCTTCTACCCCATCTGGGCATCTGGGGGCCTTACATGCCCATCAGACCCATACTTTCCTTTTTTACACTAAGATATGAGGTAGGAGCTCCAGTTTAAATGACCAAATCACTACCTGATTCCTATCTGCTTCATCTTCTCTCCAGGACTCCGTTAGCTCAGCTGTTTAAAAAAAAAAAAAAATGAAGGAGAGAAAGAGAAGTAGTAACTAACATTTGTGCAGAGCACTTGGTTTACAAAGTACCTTATCTCCTTGAACCTCACCCTCTTTACAGATGAGAAAAAGAAGTCATAGAGGGGTTAAGTGATCTGCCCATGTTCTCCCGCTGGTCAGCCAGGATTTTCCTGGAAAATCCCGTGTTTCTTCAACTTGCCCATACTGGAAGATTCTAACATTGTAAATCTAAGATTTTTAGGGCCTTCCCTAAAATAGTGAAATTAAGTAGGCCCCTTCAGACACATCTGGGCTTTAAACCATTGCTTGGGCTGGTTTGTTTTCTCCTCTCGAGTGATAATAAAACAATATTTATTAAGTATTTATTATATGACAAACATTGTATTACATGAATTATTTTGCTTTTCCTTACAATAACTCTAGGAGGTAATATAATTATCCCCATTTTACAGATGAAGAAACTGAGCTTGACGAGGTCAGTAGCAACGTCCCGCCTATAGAGACACCAACAAAGATTGGAACTCATCAAAAGGTTCCAGAGAGAATCTTCAAGGAGATAAAACTATAGAATCTCTGATAGTTTGGAACATACAGATAGAGACAATTGATGGAGAATTTAGAGTTGAATTATAATTACTGTAAGCAGACAAGTAAACAAAACATGATAATTTTTAAGTCCAGAAAAGACCAGAAAGTTTGCAGGAAAAGCAAAGGTCAGTTGTGAATAGGATTTTAGTTGTCCTAGTAAATATTTCTTTGGATATAACCAATATCAAGACATGACTAAATTGGGAGGTGGGTAGGGGGACAGGAAAGCTATGTGAGACATGAAGGTGGGGCTGAAAGAGTGTGTCTTATAGGGTTTTCACTACTCATCAAGAGATAATGCCTGAACCAGAAGCAAGAAGTAGCAATTTAGCATGTTATTTAGAAATAGGGAGGAAAAGAAACAGCTCAGAAGAAACAGCTCAGAAGAGTTGAAAGTGATGGCTTCTGGCAAGGCAGAGCATGAGGGAAATGTATTTTATAAGAAATCTCATAGAATGATTTGACTCTGATTCAACTCTATGCTTGTGTAGCTTTAATTATATTTTCTAAAGGAATAAAAGGAAAATAAGTAAATTGCCAAGTTGACCCAGATCTGATGTGGTAGAGGTGGGATTTGAACCCCCGCAGGCTGCCTCTAGAGCTAATGGCAAAGCCACTGTGCAATATGGCCTATGAAATATCTATGTCCTAGTGCTATAAACATCAAGTGGCTGATAGATACAAGAAACCCAGTGGCTGGGTTTAGTGCTTAAAAAAGAAATTATTGGGGCACCTGAGTGGCTCAGTGGGTTAAGCCTCTGACTTCGGCTCAGGTCATGATCTCGGGGTTCCTGGGATGGAGTCCTGCATGGGGCTCTCTGCTCCCGGATGAGCTTCTCTCTCTCTGACTGCCTCTCTCTCTGCCTACTTGTAATCTCTGCCTGTCAAATAAATAAATAAATAAATAATTTTTTAAAAAAAGGAAAATTATTTTCTTTCTTCCATTGAGCCAGCCACGTGGACACTTCTGGTAAGGAAGACAGTGGGGTCCTGCCCTGGGTTCAGGCCTGAGGGGCCCTGGTGCTTTGAAGCACCTACCTCTGAGTTCTCTAAGTGGCCCCCCAGTGCCTGGGGACAGTGTCATCTGGACGGGGCTCCCCAGTTTCCAGATTCTCCCCTTCAGAGAATTTTCCAACCCTGTACATTCCCTCTTGCCCCTCCCCAAAGGGGTTGACCAGACACTACCAGGAGCCCCAAGACTGGGCTACAGGGCCCATCCCAGGGCCTAGGGTCAGGCCAGGCTCTAGGAGGGTGCACTATTTCATTCATTGTGTGAGGCCAGGCTGCCAGAATGATGCTGAGAAAAGATCATGAGTGAAATCAGATTGTTTGTGTAGATGGGGATCCTGCAGAAACTTTTGCCCAGGGAGGCAGCTATGCTTTCAGGCCCTTGCGCTATGGACCGTCCTCTGTTTCCCATGACATAGTCCTTACCCCATAGCTCTGATTGCAGGTCTCAAAGCAGCCAGCAGAAGAGGGGAACATTTTGTCAGTTATCTGTAAGATCCCGCCCTCAACTTTTCACTGTTCATTGGAGGAGGACACTGAGGAAGTGTCATGTCCTTGTGAGAGACTTAGTCACAGGGCCAGGACTAACAGATCTCTGGCCTCCCGGTCACTGGACTTCTTCCATCCTATCTCAAGTTTGGGACCAGGCCTGCGTCCCCGGAGGGCAGAACAGAATCTCCCGTTTTTAAACGACGACCACGCTAGCCCCTGCAGGAATCGCAGCTTTCTGACACCCCCAATTCGGGATCCAACCATTCTTCATTTAACAAACGTCCGTGGAGAGTCGACCCCAAGCAAGCAAGTCTCCCTGGGAACACAAGCGCTCCGACACATTTCTGCCTCCAAGAAGTCACAGTCTGATGGTGGAGGGGCATTTTCAGGGCAAAACCTGATACCGCAGGGGCCTGCCGGACGCTCCTTTCCAATGCCGGTGAGTGGGTGGGGGAGAAGAGAAAGCAGGAGCTTTTTTTTCTCCCGCGGCGCAGGCCTGAGCGAACCGCTCTCGGACGCGCCGGGCGGGGCCTCGCTCGGAGCATCTTCCGCCCCCACCTTCTCCGTCCGGGTCCCCGCCCGGCGCGCGAAGGGAGGGGCGCGGGGGCGCGCACGCAGGACGGCGGGGCCGCGCCGGCCGCCCGGGAACGCGCACGGGCCGGTCTCTGCCCTAATGCGGCGGCTGGCGGCGAGAGGCGCTGCAGGGGACGCGGGGGAAGTGGCGGCGCCGGCGACGGACAGCACGGACTGCGCCCAGGGCCGGAGCCCGCGCCCCCGGAGGTAGGCGAGCGCGTATACCGGACAGGTGGGGGTGCGGTAGAACGGGGGTCCTGGAAACCCATCTAGCGACACCCCCTTGTTGCCGCGCTCTTCTGCCCGTCTCCATCCCCCGACCGGTCCCCATCCCCCTCTGACTACATCCCCGTCCCTTCTCGTCTCCACACCATCACCTGCCCCGAATCCATCCTGTTCTGTGGATATCTGCATCCACCCCCATTCAGCTCTCACCCCCCTGCCCACCCCAACACCCTTTCTGTCTCATTGGCCTCATTCCCTCCCCCTTCCTGCATCCTCGACCTCTTCTCCTTGCTTTCCATCCCTGCCTCATCCACAGCCCTGCCCTTTTATACCTGTTTACCTCCACACCCCGCTCTGGATGACCCCATCTTTCCTATTCCTCACATCAGCCCCTCTCCTTGGCCTCCCCTGTCCTCATCCCCACCTCATATCCTGTCACTCTGTGTGCCTGTCTCTCCATCTGCTCCCTCAGTTTCTGTCCTCCCCAGGTCCCTCTGCACACCCTGTCCCAGCCGCTTCCCCGCTGCCTCTTGGTTTCCTCCTGCACCATAGTCCCTCTCAAGAACCCCATCTTCCCCTCCTTGTCTGTTAGCTGGCCTGGCCCCCATCACCTTTCCCATTTGCCCTTCCTGGTGCTCTGTGTATCCACAAGGCTTGTACTGAGCCCCCATCACCTGACACGGGGCCCTCCTTCCCTGCTTGGGGAGGCCTAGGGCTCCGAAGGCCTGATGTAGTCACGGTTGCGGAATCCACTTATAACCCCTTTCTGCATGTTTGATCCAATTCATGGCTTGGGGGTGAAGGATGCTGGGGGCTAGTCGGCCTCTTGTGTTCCTCCTCAGCCTTCCTTGGTTCAGGTTGGTTTCCTAGATGGACTGTGGGAGGGAGTGCTAAGCATAGGGAAACTAGGTTGGGCAAGAGGCAGGGTCCAAGGGAATGGCTGAGGACCTCTTAACTGGTCTTGTTCTGAGCCCTGGGATGCAAAGGCCTGGATGCTAGCCCCGCTGGAAGGTTGGAGAATTTTGGATTTTAGAGAGAATTCTTCTTCAGCCTCCAAGTTGGCACAGCTGCCATGAGTGTGGCCCATGGGCTGGGCTGAAGAGAGGGCAGACTGCTGAATCACTTAGACTCTGGTCCCCACAGCAGCCCCTCTCCTGCCTCAAGCCAGGTTCTGCTCCTGGTTCCTTCCTTGGCATTTGGCAGTAGGCTGTGTGTGTGTGTGTGTGTGTGTGTGTGAGTGTGTGTTGGGCAGAGATGCCTCCTCCCCCAGTCTGGAGGAATGGATGACAGTGCCCCTTTCCAGCCTGTCTGTCTGCCTGGGATGAAGGCCTGGTGTAGCTACCCTTGGAACCGTGATGAGCCCTGCTGGGGCCCAATCAACGCTCCAGCGACGGCAGACTGCAGGCCTTTGAGACATGGTTGGGCAGGAGTTGAATTGTTTGTATGGGGCCAGAGACCAGCAGGTTCAGAACCCACCGAACTTGAGACGTAAGTAGGAGAAGCCCAGGGAAAATGTGTGTGGTGAGTGGAGGCTCTGGAGGACAGGGGCCATACCAGCTGTGGGAGTGGGGAACAGGGAGAAGAGGGAAGGCAGAAACCTGTCCTCCGCTCTGGTTTGGGGATGGTTGGATCTGGTGGAATTGTGCTGCAGGAGGAATTGGACAAAATTGGGGAGGAGGGGTGTCATTCTGATCTTTTGTGTTGACCGAGTTGGCCCTTCTTTGTGTGTGTGTGTGTGTGTGTGTGTGTGTGTGTGTGTGTGTTTGTGTGTTGAGAAAACTGCTGGGTTTTCTTTTCTTCCTTTTTTGTTTTTTTGAGGTGCACTTCTGAGGGATTAATATCTTCCCCTTTGGATTCAGCTGAAAGTGTGTGTGTCCGTGTGTGTGTGTAGATAAAGAATGAGAATAGCACAAATGAGGAAAGAGACTCATTCACATTTAACCCCACAAATTGTGTTTGCTCCTTTGGAAAGGGATTGGTAGCCCAGTTCCTGTCTTGGGACTTCAGCTAAATCCCCAGGGCTTAAATTGGGGGTGAATCGCACATTGCTGTTGGGTTCTGTCCCATCTCCATAAGGGTCCCTCTCTTTAGAAATCCCAGTGTTTGGACTCCAGCTCATGTGCGACAACCCTAAAGGGGACTTAGGCACTGCCTGGCAAGGGGGAGGCGCGTGCATCTAGGTGGCTGGCTGTCCACCACTTTGTTACCTTTCTTCGCCCCCTCCCGTCATAGGGGGTGGGGCGGGAAGCTTCCCCAGGCGTTTCCTGGCCCGGGGAGGAGGCAATACCTGGAGCTCTCTGGGAGAGCTGATTGGATTAAGGTTCTGACGTTGAAATGCTTGATTGGGGCTGAGGTTATGTGAGGGATTCTGATAACAAGGTACATATTTGCTGGTTTTGTGCAATGACTCTCACCCCAGATCCCTAGTTTAGCATCACAGAGGCTTCGCAGAGATAAATCAAGGCCCAGAGAAAGAGGAGCGGGATCCCGGGAGAGCTGGAGCCAGATGCAGCGAGCTCCCTGTGGGCTGAAGCCGACTGGCTTCCGGGGCTGCTGCTTTGGGGCTGCTGCTTTCGGGGCACATTGAGGAGGTGGCTGCTCTCCGGGGTGGGGGGAGTTCTGGCTTGGCTATCTGAGGAGGAGGTGCAGAGGAAGGTCCCTTTTCTGCAGCGACCAAGGGACAGAATTCCAAGGCTCCCCTCACTCTGTTCTTGCATCTAGTTCCCTTCCCTTGGCACCACTGTCCTCTAAACCCATCAGAGAGCTGGCATGTGAGGCTCATCACTTAGTCTTTACAGAAAAGAAATCCTTAGGACACCAGAAAGTTGAGCAGGGAGGCAGAGTAGTTCAGTCTTCAGTCTGTTTGGCCTGGAGGACAGGGGGTGTGGGGGTTGGGGGTGAGAAGAACTTAAGGCCGGCTCCATATTTATTTATTTATTTAGCAAATACGAATGAAGCCTGCAGTTGCTGCCCTGCTCTGTGTGGGGCTTGTAGAGATGAAAACTGAGACAGCGTCTGGTCTCTCAGAGCTCCCAGTGTCCTGGAAAAGAGAGACAAGTAAACAGACAATCACCACAGATAAGCTTGAGTGAGAACATCTGGACGAGGATGTAGAGAGGCAGCTCCTTCATTCCAGTGGTATCAGCCCCCTCTCCTCCAGAACCATGAAGATGACTGGGTGACTCTGTCCAGTGGTATCAGCCCCCTCTCCTCCAGAACCATGAAGATGACTGGGTGACTCTAGTCTGACCCTAAAGTCGACTAAGGAAAAGGATGGAAGAGGAGGCGAGACGTAAGATATTACCAGATCCTTGGCTTTAGGGGGAAGAGCTAGGACAGCTGAACCTCAGTGGGTGCTGCTTTAGCCCATGGGGGGAAGGCATCCAGAGGGAACTCTGGGACAGGTTCAAGGCTACTCAACTCTCCCATTTCCATCTCCTAAGCGCTTGTATTTTAGGGGCAAACTGTGGTCTGGGTATGCTTAGAATGTTACAGGGGTCAGAGGAAAAGAAACCCAGTCTGCCCTCCCAGGAGCTAACTATCTGATGGGAAGTAGCAAGTACATGCCTAGAAGCAAGATAAGGAGAAAAATCCCAAGCTCTGGTAGGTGGGGAAGGGTCTTGGGGTCCTGGGGAGGTCAGAACCAGGTGGGATTCATCAGAGAAGTCCAGGTGGGGGAGGGGAGGGTTTTGAAGTTATTCCCTTGACCACAGGCCACCAGGCACATCCACAGTTGAACTGGGAAAGAACGTGAGGATGGAGACCCTCAGTCTTATCTGTCTGAGGAGGCCCCTTCTTCCCCCCACACTAAATTTAACTCATTTCATTAGTGTGTCCTGAGTCTTTGAATATATCCAAGGAATTGTGCTAAGGACTGGGGTATGAGTGAGTTGGAGAGATAGAAACAAAAACAAAGGAAAATTCAGTACAAGAAATGCTCTAGCAGAGGCTGGATGAGTTCTTGGCGTTGTAGGAGCATGGCTGAGGGGTCATGGTAGACACGGTAGGACCTGGAGTGATTGTCTTCCACGGTTGAGATACACCCTGTTTTGGCCAGAGCAGCTCGATGTCAAACTTTGGAGCATTTACTCAAAATGCCCAGCTAGAGCCCATGCCTCGCTGCAAGGGCAGAGGTTGGATGTATCTGGCCTGGTCCTTGGGCCTGCAGGGGAGGCTCTGGGAGCTAATGGCCATGCTGGGTGCTTGAGTAGGCACTTCCAAAGCTCTGCTGACCAGCAGCACCAGTCAGGTTGTGCCAGCCAACTGGAGAACTCCTGAGCCACCCTCCTTTCCTTAGATCTCGAGGCAGGCCAAGAAAAATAAAAGTGTCATACTATCGTAGTCATCATTCTAGATGGTTTGCTGTGTGCTAGGCACTCTACTCTTTTCTTGTATGCATCACTGCATGTAATCTTCATAAGGGTAAACCCTAAAAAAAAAAAAAAAAGAAGTATTGCTAGGATTCTGGTTTTATAGATAAGGAAGCAGACTCAGAAAGGTGGTTATTTAAGATTGAAGAACAGGTAAGTTGTAGAACTAGAATTTAAACCTGTGTGTGTTTGCCATCAAAGCTCATACACCTCTCCTATATATTATAGGAGAGTAAAAATAAAAACCTGGGATGTTTTAGCCCAAGGCTGTCTAGGAAAATCTATTAGAAAGGCCCAGTTATCATACATCTTTGAGTACCTCCTATGTCCTTCTGAAGGATACAGAAACTTTCAAATGGGGGAAATACATGGAAATATATGACAACTCCTAGGACTCATATAAGACAGTATGCAATTAAGTCTTCAGACCCTGGAGAGTAGAACTTCAAAGGAAGGAGTGATCCCTCGGTATGACTGTTGGAGTCAGGGAGGTGACAGGCATAGTAGAAACTACTCAGCCTTTGAGGTCAGACTTACATTCAAACCTTGGTTCTTCTAAGGAGCTGCAGCTTGCCCATCTGTAACGTGGAGATGTTAATATGAACCTTGCAG